AGGGATTAATTAAAATAGATGCAATAAACTGACGACGAACAGTACGAAACTAGTAACTAACTAGCCTAAGCGCTTTCGACTCTTAATGAGTCTTTTTCAAAGGCAAATACAAAACATAGTTACGACAAACAAATAAACACAAAAACGTTGCGTTTGTAAACCTCTACATTTCTATCTTCACATGTGCTAAAACTATAAATACAACCAGCTTGTATAGACTAGTTGCGGAAACTGAAAACGTTGTATAATTCCCTAAAAGTCTACAAGCCAAAGCGACATCTATTTTTACTTTGTGTACATATGTAACCAGATTATATCCCGGATATTTGGTTCTATACCGGTTATTCTTATAGTAAAAATTGAAGGATAAGAAGATTTAGAAAATGTTAAATTCTACTAGTGCATAGTTTTCATTTTCTAGTCTTCTTGGTTTAGACCGCTTGGTTTCAATGTTCTAAGGCGGCGTATCCAGTATGATTCAATGAAAACTATGCACTAGTAGAATTTAACATTTTCTAAATCTTCTTATCCTTCAATTTTTACTATAAGAATAACCGGTATAGAACCAAATATCCGGGATATAATCTGCGTTACATATGTACACAAAGTAAAAATAGATGTCGCTTTGGCTTGTAGACTTTTAGGGAATTATACAACGTTTTCAGTTTCCGCAACTAGTCTATACAAGCTGGTTGTATTTATAGTTTTAGCACATGTGAAGATAGAAATGTAGAGGTTTACAAACGCAACGTTTTTGTGTTTATTTGTTTGTCGTAACTATGTTTTGTATTTGCCTTTGAAAAAGACTCATTAAGAGTCGAAAGCGCTTAGGCTAGTTAGTTACTAGTTTCGTACTGTTCGTCGTCAGTTTATTGCATCTATATATATATATATATATATATATATATATATATATATATATATATATATATATATATATATATATATATATATATATGTCAACATTCTAGCATTTACATTTTCTTTTCCGAATTGTTTCTTTAGACTCATCCTAAAGACTTGTTCTTGTAAAACGTTAGCACATTTTACTTTATACAATTTTCAAGACATTCACAACCACAACGGCTACAATAAAACAAAAGAAAAATATCTGCGACGTCATATTTCTCTATATCTCAACAATGATATGCAAGTAGAGACTGAATTTTTGTGTAAAACAAAATCACTCTTTTTGTACATATTTTGCAAACTACCCTTAGAACAAGTAATTTACTGTTTCCTTGTTTCTATAACTTCGCTGACAATACATCCGTCACATAAATATGAAGCTAATTTGAATCCAACTTTATAAATGAACTGGAGAGTACATATACCAATAGTATCATGCCATAATCGCGTATTCTAACCATCAAGGCCGCCATTAATATTACGGGTGAGTCACCATAACATTGCACGTACCTGTTCTAAAGGGTCATCTGGAAATTGATGATACTAATTTAGATGTGTAGTGAAACTACTACTGTGTAAACTAACAAAAGAGAGATGGTTCCAGTGGCAGTTAATAGGATATATTTGACATATTTTAGATATTTATAATAACAATAAAGTAATATAGGTACACCTATCATGAAAACTACGGATAGTTTATGTTGTGCTCATTTGAAGTCATATTGCCAACATATAGGATGTAATGACCATGATGAAAAGATAATCTTTAACGAATTTGAATATCAGACTTTCCAATTTGAGTCATAAATCCCTATTGTTAAATCAGTGATAAATATAAAAATCCATAGCTGGAAAGTAAACAAACACGTGACTTTTGAGAAAAGTTGGTTGCTTAAATCGAGGTTCAGTCATTCTGTATAATAATTAAATTTACATGTCCTCGAAGAAGTAGATTTGAAGACTCATGAAAGATTAATAAAAGTGACTACTAGATTTGCATCTGATAAAAAGGAATATATTTTCACCCGATTCCAAAATTAAAACATGTCCATAAACCAAAGAAGTGGCTAATGCAATCGTATAAAGCAACTGTACATCATGATATTTGCAATTTCATTTCAGTACTAAAAGATCGCCCTATATTTCTGATGTTGGATATGGGTCAAGGGTACAAGCAGCGACAAAGCTAGCAAAGGCACTAATAGGTAAGTCTTTTTGTTGTTTTGTTTCTTCTTGACAACATAATTATGTTATAATATCGTAAGAACATTGTCGGTCTTTAAGGCTCTTACACGAATTTTATATAAAGAGAGAATGTTGTATTTGAGGTCAACTATAGGAGAGGATAGAGAGGGGTTTTATCATCAAGGAGAACGATTTAACTATATCTGATAAATAAATAAATAAATAAATAAATAAATAAATAAATAAATAAATAAATAAATAAATAAATAAATAGTTACTGTGTACAACCTTGTTTCCTGTCACTCTGATATAGTAAACTGGATTAGAGGCAGGAGGAGTAGTCATGTATGGTGGGAGAAAACTGTTACAATTTATATTTGGAATAAATCTATTATTCTTGTATGTT